CATAAGAATCCATTATTTAACTGCTTAGTATTTAACTGCAAAACATTGGATTTTTCTTCTTTTTTATCTTGTCATACGGTAATTCAACATCACACAGCAGAATGAAATGAAATGACTATCACTAATAAATTCTGCTGACTGGTTTTGAATTGTTATAATATATTAATAATAACAATAGTAATAATAATATTAATAATATAAGGACAAAAATAAGAAAATTGACAGCAGTAATAATAATATCAACGATGATATTAACAACAATACCTCAACAAATAGAATAACAAAAAAATTGACTACAAGTCATTTCAGTCAATACAGTATTGTAAACTACCGTAACTTCTCGAATAGCTCAGAATATTTTGATATTTTACTTTCAAAGAAAATACTTTCAAAGCAACAAGTTGTCACCATGTTACCAATCCAAAACTTCTTTTTTAATTGCAAACCGATTCATGAAATTTTAGATGAAGCGTTCGTCTGTCAACCTCAGAGAAATTAATAAAACGTGATCAAACAATCTATGCTCAACTTTCAACTGCGAATTGCATGTGACACAGTCACTGCTTGAGCTATTTTCGCTTCCTCTTAAACTACCACCTCATCGTCAGCACCAAGCTGAACTGCATTCCACAGTTATGGTCTGAGCTCAAAAGAAATTCCAAAATATACCTCGTTCCCATCTAGTGTACATTTTCATTGTTCCGTTTACTTCGCATTCAAACGATGAAAATTTTCGAAAGAATCGAATCTGAATTCGATAAAATGTCCAGATGTCAGCATTCACTAAAAAATCTCAACCCTCAACTTTAAACACCATCACATTTCTGCGTCCCTTCTCGAATTCACAAACAACTTCGCAAGAAATATTTTGAAAGGATGAAGTGTGTACACGTATGATAACGCTATACAGCAATATATCATAATGAATTAGATCATATATCAAATTTGATGACAATTGTTCGAAGAAAACAATAATTATATTTATTGTGCTAGTAGTCAGATGTATAATAAGACATATGTTTTAGTTTTCAAAAGTTATATGCCTTCCTCAAACCAGGCGCATCTGTTGCTGTATGAATGAATATGTTCTCAATACTGCATCGAAACTGCTAAAACAATGCACGAATATAATTACAGTCTTATTGTATGCTGACTGTAAATCATTATTAATAACATCCTCATGATTACTTTCACTCTTATTACTATTACTAGGCTTGTCATTACCGTCGTCTTTATAATTATGCTTATTCCTACTGTCATTATTACGATTATTATCATTATTATTATTGCTGTTGTAATCGAACTTAATATCATGACTGATGTTGTTATTATTGTTGTGATCAACATCACAACTATTATAACTACCACCATTAGTACCATCTCGATTTCCAGACCATTTTTTGGAACCTTTCTTTTGACTATTCCAAATTTACACTCGTTCTTCCTAACATTCATAAATTTCATTTTCAACTAATGGTTTATGGTGCCCCCAACGATATATATAGCTTGCAATCCAATAAAGATTCACCAAAACGAGCTGATTAACTATTCAATAATAACAAATCATATTGTTCACCTCATTACAACGATCACAATAATTATCCCAACTACTACAATTGTGATCAAGCTTATTGATGTGGACACAATGAATCAAATGCTCAACGCAAACTGAAAGCTTGAATATAATAATATTAATAATAAATCACAACAACAATAACGATTATAATAATAAATCATAATAATAATAAATAATACTAATAATATGTATGTGTACTGCTGAGTATTCAAAAAAAGAACGATAATTAAGTGTGAGACAATAATATTGCTGCTGTATAATTCATAATGACATTACCTACTCAATAATTCAAATCATCTCTCCACAACAATACAGAACAATGTCAGCGTAAATACGTCGACGTTTTATGAAGGATATAATTTTATCTGTTTATAACAAGTACTAAATATTGCATTCAGCTCAGCTCTATATATCATTCATACATTATTCTGTTTACAGCCATTCATTCATATTTTCGACTTAATGCAATTACCGTCAACATATGAATAGAACAAACTGCGCATTGTTCATCTGGATTTTATATTGCCCATATGAACGATCAAATAGTAACTGCATTTACATTTGCACTGTTCACAGTTGAGTACTATGTTCATTTGATTCCAACCGATATACTTGTGTATATATTAGAGAATTTCGGATGATCATGGCAACATTATAACATTATATGATACAGTTGAGATTTGGAAGTTATCTTAGAAAACATCACAAGTAACTACAGAATTTCACAGAATGAGAAGATCATCTGTTTAATTTCTAATAAATAATCTATCTGACTAGAAGTGTAATTTGAGAACTTGGTCAGATGATCATTCGCTGCCGCGAATCTAGAATTGTTCAGAGAAGTGAAAAATTCAGTTGCTCATATCCAGTCTCCTCAGGATATGTCATACTTTCATAACCTCAAACTCCTTCAGATTTCAGAATACAAAATTATTGAATGTGCCAAGAGACCAGTTTATCACTCACTGATTATACTTTAATCGCTCTCAGCATCGTCATAAAGCTCTCCAAAAGCATGGGAAATAATCCATCTCATAATTTAATTTGCTCAATAAGATTTGCCCCGGTCACATACTCAACAGATTTTAAAAGACTACTGCTAATCATGTTGTGATCTGTATACACTCATACTGGTAGGTTGTGAATGATATACTTGTAAATATAATTATATTGACTTGAACTGAATTTCGACCTCACTAAATTAAGAGATTTATGAATTGCTATAAGGAGAACCAATCGCGATTGAGTGCATTCATCATGGGTTAAAGATGCAGTGGTGGTCATGAAATAACATTGCAATCGAATAGACTTTTTCAGCGAATCAAACGAGAGTGTCTGTGTATGTGATGTGAATAAACCACGCCCCCTTTTAATGAATAACCACTCATATTTATATTAGATATCGCTGAATACTCGCAGCTACAGTAATCAATAAATTCTCTATGCGTTCACATGCTAATCTGTTTTTTAAGGCAAAATTCGAATGCATGAACTACCGTATCACTAAAATNCCTCCTCCTCATACCGCACAACAACAGCAGTTTTACCCGTTTGAAATAATAGGGTCATAAGCTCAGTACGAACAGATTTACGTGTAATTTGAATCGAATTGGGGAAACGTGAAACTCCACATTACTAAACTCTGAATTATTCATTCCATTTCCATGCTAAAACTCAACTTCGATAAAATTACGAATAAGAAACGTTTAATTTTTATCAACACTCTCCTATTAACGTCTAATCTCCATTTATTGAACGCTGCTATCCCCGAACTTTCTAAGTGATCATCTCCACCAAATTCGATCCTTTTACAATCCTTCACAGTTCGTTCAGCTCGTCAGTTTTCCTTACGAAGTCAGCAAGATCCTTTCATCCTCAGGTTACCTTCTCTTATGTTTACATCGAGTAGACTCAGTAGAGAAGAGACGAATTTGCAAAGCGCATTCAACGAAATCAACAAACAGTTTCTAAATTAATCACAATTTGTTGCGAGGAGAATCTCAATTCAATTCAAAGCTCACAGTTGTCAATTCACCATTCACAATAACTCTAATTGTAAATAAATTTCATCTAATCAACCACTATTGACAGTTGACCATTCAAACCGCTGATTATTTATGCGATTTTGGATGACTTTGATGTTTGCGAAGCAGTCGAAATTACGCAATCCAACTAATCATATGAGGGCAAGAGCTGTTCAAAAAGAGATTTTGACGAATAAAGAGATGATGAGGATATTCAAAAGTAGGAATAACAGCTAATGTATCGCCAAAATACAAATACATACAGAAAAAACATATGACAGATGGAGAAAGCTTAAATGAAAGTGTAACGATTTGAAGAATGGCAAGGAGAAGATATGCAAAGAATTCGCTTCAAATGGATTAAAATGAATCACTGTTGATAGAACATCAAAAAGAACAACAGCAATAACAACAACCACCACCACCATTATCATCACTAGATTAACCACTGGCATCAATATCATTAAAACGGTAATAAATAATTGCTGATCGATCAAATCAAAGAACTGAACCCATCAATTCAAATAAACGCTTCTATGAAACCAAAGTAGCAGCACCATCAAATCATCAACTATTTGCATAGCGCTAACTATCAAACTTTCAATCAATACTATCGATCCTCATCACTTAAACAACACAGCACAGATTCGTTTGTTCGTGTTTGATCAAGAGAAACTACACGATGACAACGACGACAACAACAATACAACAACTAATGAATTCGTCGCATTTCACCCTGTTGTTTTGCGTTTTTATTTTTCGCCCGAAAGCAATCAATCGAGTTCTTTGATCGATTGTCGGTCAAATTCAGTACCAAATTTTGACACAAAATATTTTCTTGTTTGATTTGAACTGTGAATTATGCAAACTTTTAAACGTCTCTTTTTTCTGACACATCACAATCAGCATCGTATGGTACTACGAAACGATGATAGAATTTAAAGATTCCTCATTCATTCCTTTTCGACCTTTTCAGGTGAATGTTCAAATGAAGCATTGAAGTTAATGGAAACAATGCGAAAAAAGTCCAAATGCAAAAAATTTGCAGAGATAAAGGATTCACAGCAATACAAAAAATATCCAACCTGTTTGAATTGCTCTTCGTATGACCAATTCTGTTGGGCGCTTGCCTCTGAGTCTGCATTATCATCCAGATTCTCTTTTTTCTCTTTTCGGAATCTGCAACAAAAAACAACTTTGTCTGATTTGCTAAAGTGATTCGCGGCTTCTTCATCTGCTATGCATTTCACATCAAACTGATCAATACGATCTCATAAATTTAGATGCCTCAATTACACAAACGTTTCAATATTTTAGTTGAGGGAAAGAGGAACTCACAGAAACAGGAGNCTCAGTTCACTGATGCAGAATCATTCAACAAATCATTCAGAACATTCAGCTGAAAAGTTGAACTCTATCATTCCTGGTACTGTAATCATTCCTGCTCAACCACCACCAGCACATCACTTAATGAATTATCCGATCTGATAAGGTAATCAATCGTCTAGTGAAACAACACGTTCACACCATATCTTACCATCACCGCTCATTTATCACCAAAGTTTATTCCATCATCGAACAACCATCTCAAGATGAATCTAATGATTTATGAAATGTTATCTTTTTCAAGGTGTCCTCACTAATCTTACACTCCACCACTATCTGTCAATATCACATTTTCCCTCAATTTTTCCTCGATTCAATTTGCTTTTACATTACAACTCGAAAAATAATATATCACTCTGAATAATTATGTGCTCTCATCGAACGAACACTGTTGGAATACCTTTAACTGGTTATAATATTGAAGTGAAAATAATACTAATGACAAAAACAAGTGCAGTAGAGAATATGAATTCACTAACATATTCTATAAGATTCACTTTAAAATGCACTTACAATTTTAAGATAGATAATATCAGTTAAAACATTGATTTATAATGAGTATCAAAAAAGAACTGTGATCGTGTTGGGCAGAAAAATTTTAAAGTATTAGTTTGCATGCTTGTTTATTGCACTGATCTATTTATTGCACTAATTTGAAAGGTGGATGGATATTCGATGAGATATTTAAGATGCATAAAAGATTTCAAAAGAGATTGAGGTGGATTATGCCAGATAACTGATCATCGCTGTGTGGATGATGTGCATATGATAGGTATGCTTAATATCATAGAATGTTTGTCCACATATAAAACACTTGATTTTTTGAGTGGCATTCTTCATTGTCAACTGCTACTACTGTAATGCAACACCACTCACCAGATATGAATTTGATGCCGAATTCTACCTTCTTTCAATTCATATGAGTACATGTATTATGGATAAACAGATTTTCTACGATTTCATATTCATAGTTCATATCGTAACCCATACTTTCATACACTTGTTCATAATANTTCTTGAAAGCATTCGAATTCACCCAAAAAATACTACACATTTTTATTTCCTGGCTCACAATAATTCCATGGTATGCAATGACTTGAACAAATAACTTGTAGATTTGTTCTTAATCCGCATATAGTTAATTCATAATCACTGCATTGCTAAATCAAAATAATTCCAAATTCGCTCACGCTTTGCTCATCCCACTAAAATCTCCTTGTAAGATTCTGAATTCGATAACGATCGCGATTTCAGTATTATAGATTTCAATAGTTGGAAATTGGCAATTAACATTTGGAAATAAAAAATTTCAAATCAAAAAATTGTGGAAAAAAGCTGAAAAGTAGCAGTACCCGATAGTAAGATCTTCAGGTTCAGTGGACGGAATATTGTCCGAGTCATTGTCATTTTCGTTATCGTTCTCATCGTCCTCATCATCAAGACCGTTCGGTGAGAGGATACAATTATTGTTGAGTATCGACGAGGTTATCGCTGCGGCTGCAGCCGATGTTGCAGTGCTGGGATCATTCGAGAGATTATTCATCAGATGACTGTGGATCGATAAGGGATTCTGATGTTGCAGTGCGGCCAGAAACGGGGGTATCACATTCACCGGGAATGGAGAACGAAAACCGAGATCTGTAATCGAATTTGTTCTGATTGCTGGACAAGCCGACAATTATTTGACATTATTCGACAATTTGGCAATTATTTGACATTATTTGACGATTGGACAATTATCTGACACTATTTGACAATTCGGCAATTATTTGACATTATTTAATAATTGAGAATTATTTGACAATAATAACTAATCACAGTAGTAATTAATAAAAATAATGAGCTTATGAATAATAATAATTTACCATTTAGAGAAGACGTGAACCTTTGGAAAGCCTTTTGTTGAGCCTCAATTTCTTTTTCAAATGTATTTGTTTCAGTCAATGAGGATGTAGGCGATTGTTGTCTAGCATTCACCTTAAACATATTCACTTTCACACATCGTTATCGCTTAAATTATTTTAATTTTAATATAAACTAACAATCACCATACCAACAAATATGAACAATGATAAAATTGATGCCACACGATTGAATTTCAATTCTACCTATGCACCACTTATTATTACTGATGCTGAAAACATTCAAAACAAAACACTTTTCCACATTATGCGTCAAATCTCCAACTGTAACTCTTAATAAATACAGAGTGAGAAATATTCTGTAAGTGATAATAATACTGATAATAAAATCACACTAAAACCGTTGATAACAGTAACAACTGTGAAACATACATCATAAAATACGAGTGAAATCAAAACACAAGCGTACAATAACTGACGACGGGTGGTCGAGAGTGATAGCTAAGGAATGATAGAAATTAAAGACGAGCAATAAAACACGATAATAAAACCAAATCAAATCTAATCTAATTCTAGTCTTTTTTTTTCAAACCAACGACGCTAAGTAATAAAGATGCATCATCACATCTTCTTCATATCACAAAAAAGACTCTCATTCAGTTCTAATTTAATATAATGATAACAATAATAATGCTGTTAGCAATAACAACAATAATAATATCAATAATAACAATAATAATACTAATAATACCAATAATAATAATGATAATAATAAGAATAACGATAATGAATTCAAAACGTCTGTAATGATTCAATAATTAGATCAGTTTCATATGAACAACTGAATGGATGAATGTAAAGATATATGAAATGTATACCTCAAAAATCATACAATTATAGATGTGATGCGAAAGAAAAATTGATCAGAATATATTATATCGTTTGAATGACACCAATAAATATCAAAAGTCTATAGCGGCACTTTTATCGACTTCAAGATGATCGCATTTTTCAATTGCTCTTCTGACTTTTTTATGCGGTATAACGAAGGCTTTATTGTTATTCGTTATATTGAAATTATCACTAGTGATAAAGACATCGCTATCATTACTCCTTTTTTTCGATGTGGCTGCAGCAGCATCCCTATCATGTGCATTTGGATTGGTATTATCATGATTATCAGTATTATTGTTATTATTATTATTATTATTATCACCGTTATCATTACTGTCATTATGACCATTACAATTAATGTTATTGTCATCAATGTTGTTCCAGTTCACCTTTTAATATCATTACAACGATTTGTACAAGACAACTAAGTCATTCACTCAAACTTTCAATTCTCAACTTCTATTCTTTTGCGATATTATTCTTGATCGAATTCACTGTGGAGTTTTGATCAAATTCAGTTTTCTCAATAAACAAATTCAATGAAAATTCCAGATGAAAACCAACCAAATTCACAGAACTGTTCTTGGCTGCATTCAAAATAGCCGATAGATTTGCGGAAATATCGTTATTGGTGGTGGAATCGATGATGTTTGGTTGTGGTGAAGGTGTGTTCGATGCTGGAATTGAGTTCTGATTCGTGGCCGTATCCAGCGAGGACGATGAAGCGGACTGTTGACTTGTCAGCAGACCTCCACCTCCGGCGAAATGTGAGGATGACGTTGATTCCATCGCTATTGACATCCCTTCAACGCGCTCAAACACCTCTAAAAACTAACACTTACTTATCAAGTTGATTACTCAGACTTCATCAAGCAAGCATTCGTAGTATATAATCCTCAATCCTTCTCTAATACTATTCGATCGAAATCGTGATTGGTTATACGATAACACATCACTACCAGTACACTAACCTTCTCAAGCATTTATCACTTTCATTGTGATCATCTGACCGTAAGTACGAACTGAAACATGCAATGCGGTGATATTACTCGAAAGCACTGACAATAAGACATGTTCGGTGACGATTACGCTTCTAGTAACTGCGTCAACTCCTATCAAATACACGTCAAAATACACGGCCACCATAGTCAAAAGATGTAACCACATAGAATTGAGTTTCCAGAACCTTTGCGATACGGAGAAATGGAATTGGGCATTTCAATTTCGTGGGCTAGAACGGTAGATATTGAAATAAGGATTTCGACAGTATCTCTACAATTTCGATAGTACCTCAAGGAGGCAGCAAAATAGGAATGATATCGTTAGGTACCACAAAATTTGCGATGAATTTCATCCGCTCAAGTATACAGGCAAATGAATTTTTTGGCCACTATAGTGTCCCCCTCTTATTA